GCCTCCTGAGTAGGTGGGACTACAGGCGCCCGCCACCATGCCCGGCTAATTTTTGGTATTTTTTTAGTAGAGACGGGGTTTCACCGTGTTAGCCAGGATGATCTCGATCTCCTGACCTCGTGATCTGCCCGCCTCGGCCTCCCAAAGTGCTGGGATTACAGGTGTGAACCACCGCGCCTGTCCACCTCTGATACGCGCCTGATGCCCAGTATCAGGCATTTCTTTACAGTGACACAAAGACTGACAAACACTAGGGTTGAGTTCCAGCACACCAATTTCAGGGGCACTGGCCTTCAGAGCAGAGCAGAGGCTGATTGGGAATGACTGGGATTTTGAGAATGGGAGCGCGGACATTTGAGGGTATCTGCACACATCTGAGCGAGCGCCCCAAACCGCCAAGCCCCTCTGCATATCCGTCCACACGGAGGCAGCTTTCCCCTCCCTCGAAGGCAGGCTCTGCTGCCTGGGGGCCCCATAACACCTCCCTGAGGGGCTGCCAGATCTCCTCATGACCCCCTTGCCATCCCCTGTGGCCCGGATGCTCCCAGGGGCAGGAACAAAGTCTGACCTGAGAGGAGAAGGATCCCAGAGGGGAAGAAAGCAGCCAATCTCCACAGCAGGACCTGGGAGGAGGTGCGTGGGAATGAATTCCAACCCTGCCAGGCCACAGAGGGAAGAGCCTGTCCGAGGCTGGCCTGGGCGTCTGATGTGCACGTGCCACCAGCCTACCCCGCCCACCACAGGCAGCTCCCGTCACACACTCAGCGGGTTGAGGAAACCTGGACCCAAGAGAGACCTGCACTGTGGAAAGCTAGATGCCAGAAAGTCATGCAGAAGAAGGACTCCCAATGTTTGGAGACACAGCCTGTTGGAAGGTCTGTTGTTGCTGTTGTTGAGATGGGGTCTCGCTCTGTCGCCCAGGCCGGAGTGCAGTGGCGCAGTCTCAGCTCACTGCAGCCTTGACCTCCTGAGCTTAATCAATCCTCCCACCTCAGCCTCTTGAGTAGCTGGGATTACAGGTGCACGCCACCACGCCCAGCTAAGTTTGGCATCTTTTGTAGAGATGGGGTTTCTCCATGTTCCCAGGCTGATCTCAAACTCCTGGGCTCAAGTGATCTGCCCACCTTGGCCTCCCAAAGTGTTGGGATTACAGGCGTGAGCCGCTGCATCCAGCTATTGGCAAGTGTGATGACGAGTGTTGACGGTGAGCGTGACCACATATAGAAGACATGCCCTTCGTTGTGGCTCAGTGAGGAGAGTCCTGTGCCCTTTGAAAGCACCGAGGTGCACTCTGGAATGTGCGGGGGCCCGGGCAGGGATGCTGCCTTTGAGGGGCTCCCTGTTGCCCTGGGGTGCTGCTGGGCCTGGGAGGGAGTCGTGCTGATTCCTGGGTGGGCAGCAGGGCAGTGTGTCTCAGCGTGGATGGGTGGAAGCGGTTTTGGGCAGTGGTTAATTGATTTTGGGGTCCCTAGGGCTGAAGTAGATGGGGACCCCACTCAGGTCCCAGTTTATCTGAAGATTCAGTGTGGTCAGCCGCGGAGGTAATGATGAAGGTTGGAGGCTGGAGAGGTGGGACCCGGCTGGTTTTGAAGATGGAGGAGGAACGCAGGCAGCGTTGGAGCTGGAAAAGGTGAGGACACGGATTCTCCCCGGAGGCTTCCGTGGGGAACCAGCCCTGCCTACACCTTGACTTTAGCCCAGTGGGACCCGTGTCGGGCCAATGACCTCTAGAACTGCAAGCTCATAAATCCGCGTCCTGCTGAGCTGTTGTTTGTGGATTTGTCACTGCAGTGATGCGACGTGCGTGCAGTCAGAGAAGCCTCAGAGCAGGCCGGGCTGCAGCAC